TATTCTTGCATATTGCACGTGTTGAGCATAGGAAGTTTAACCTGGTTGGACCATGCTTCTTTGGTCTCCTTTTCTACCTTAGTACGCCACTCTGCTAGATAATGGAACATTAGGCCATTATTCTTACAGCAATGCTATATAGAAAATGACATTTCAGACAATTGCCTATTCCTTTGTTGCATTGTTTAAAAATGTGTGTTCAGAGGTGAACCAATCAAATGGCTCTCACATTAAAAAGAAGAGCAGCACAAGCTGAACATGCTCGAGCAAAAAAAAAAAAACAACAACCTTTTTTCTGCAAAAATACATTAAATTAGCCCATTCTGAGCATACTGGTTATCAGGTATGGCTTGATGACCATTTCGTCCAATCATATGTTTCTCATTGGGATGCATTGTGGAATTAATGTGAATGCGAGAAAATTGTTGTGATGCGCCAGTTAGACTCAGCTCTAACTATGAAAGCATCATCTAGTGGCTTTCAGGAAGACAGCCATTAAAGTGTGTTTAACCCCCACAATAAAAACATTGACATGTCTCCAAAATGACAATGTTTTACAATGTAAGTTAAAAGTAGTAGGGCCACTGCAAACAGACCACTTCAATGAGAACAAGTGGTCTGGGTGATTATAGTGGTCTTTTAAATCTGCTTTTTCAAAATGTTAGCTACACACCTTAAACCTCTCATACAAGGACAATCCACCCTGAGGAAGCTGGACCTATTCCTCAAAGAGAGTGTAGAGGTAATATAACAAACATTATTAACCTTCTTCCTAAAGCCTGTCTTTCTTGTCACTTATCTCTATTACTATTAATTATTATTGATTAATTAATATCCTTAATTGATGCAAAGAGGGCCTTTTAATAGTGGACTGGCCATGTCTCTTACTAATCTATGATTCCTAAGTTTGGGCCTTCAGGACTTACGTGGGTACAAGTGTTATGTTCTTTCATTACTGCTGAAAGCAACCCAGACCCTTAAAGCATTGAAGTTTGCTGAAGTGCTTTATGTGAGTTGTGTATGTCCCCTTTTTTTCATTTAACAAAAAGTGCATTTTTCAGCAGTAATTGGCACTTGGATAAATTAACCTGGTTACACCTCATTGCTGTTAATCAGACAACAGATACTGTTTCTTCCAGGCTGATTAATGGAGCTAAACTCAAGAGCCAGCAATTGCTCAGATTACCTGCCTTGCAAGTACTTCTCATTGAGCTTCATTGGGAAGTCTGTGATTGACAGCCACCGAAAGTCTGGGATGGTAAAGAAGAGGGTGGCTTCCAAATACTTCAGGTAAGAAATATGCAGATTTTCCAAACTTCTATATAACTATACCCCCAGTGAAAAAACAATGCAAAACTAAATGCATGCATGCTTTTATTGAGGGTATATCTACTTAACAGTATATTCCTTTTCTTTTGGATTTGGGCAGTGGAGTGTTCATTTAAGGTATGTGAACATCTTTCCATTTATTTCTTCATTCAAAGAATGTGGGGAATTGTTTGTTGTTTAACACAGACATGTATTTTTTTATGAGGTGTGCTTATCTGACTTTTGCTGTTTTATAAACCGCATAGAAGCTTTGACGTGATTTCTAGTGTAAAATTATGTTATCATCATACAGCAGTTATAGGACAATAGATCTGGTCCAAGAAAGAAAATCATTATCACTATCCAAATAAAATCCACAAATCTGGTCCAGGTAAGACAAATAATGACAGATGATGACTGAAAAAATAGTTCTCAAAATGACAAACAAGTGCCTTTGAGAAAATCCAGAAAACTGAATGTGTTAATGGAAAATGAACAAGTAAGAGTTTTCTTAAAGAAAATAAAAAATTTTTTTTGTGAGAAATGCAAATGCCTTTATGTAACATTTGATAAATTATTAAATTTTATTAATAAACATGAAGGCATCCTCAGAGAGCTACAGCTTTACATGGAAAATGTATTACGTTAACCTTAAATCAGAGAATTTGTGTTAACTATGTCTCCTTTGCTCACTTTTCAAAATACTAGACAATACAAATGCATCTCATTAGAAGGGAGAGCAGTGCTGCCATCATTAACATGTCCCAAAGTTTCTTAAAGTTTATTAAAAGTGAAGCTATTTCTCAATGACTTGATTTCCATGTGGAATACAGCACACAATCAGCTATCCAGAGTGTTCAAGTCTAGTTTAAACCATTGGGTAATTCTGCTGTTTAACCCAAATGTTTGATAATTATACAAAACGTGCTTGAGATGTTTTATGAGGATGCCTGCACAGAAGTATTTTCCTTAAGTTTGATATTAATTAAACTATTTAATGCTAGGTGAGACAACACGTAAACAAATGATATTAAATAATTGAACACATTTCAACTGCTAAGATTAGTAAGATAATAATGCATAATATATGAGAGGAAACTAAAACAGTGTAACAAAAAAACGCCAGGATTTTTTTCAGTTGTTTTCTTCGGCAGTTTGAAGTTGTTAATTTGTAACACACAAGATAGCTCTCATTTATATATAGTAATTTTTTTTTTATTAATTTTGCATTTTATCATATTAGTAGATTTCCTACACATACAAGGTTGAGCAATTACATTTTTCCTAATGTTACTAAAATAAATATTTAAAAATGCCGGTGAAATGTAATTTTGAGAAAAATAAATATATAACAGACACAATTTGAATCTTATAATACCTTTTTTTATTGGACTAACAGAATTTTGTAATGACAAGCTTTCAAAAGAACCTCCCTTTCTCAACTCTAAAGCATTTTGCCTGCTTAGCCTATTAATTTATCCATATTTCTCTGATAAGTAGTAATGGAAACGTGGACTGTGGCGAAAGTAACCTTGCCACTTGTACTTGGAGAGGCCTTCCCTCTTGCCCTGTGACTATGGCCCCTGGGATGTATTGCCCTTTAAAAGCTCTATTTGGTATACTGGATTTTAAAACACTTTTTCTGCCCCTATAAATCCATGGGAAAATGTCCCTCTTCCCCTCCCCCTTTTTCCTGTCCTATTGTTTCTCCAGCAGGGTGTTGTCCCAGGGACACTGCCAGACCAGTTTAAACTGGCTGCTTTGTCCCTCCTCAATCTCCCATCAGCCCTTGCTATTTTCTGTCTCCACCCTTCCTTGTACTATAGGGCACTTTTAACATATTGAGCGCTCAGATACAAGCTATCTGGGAATATGTTGGACATATAGGTTAAACACTGTATTATAAGAGTTATGTATTTTTATGTGGTTTTTATAACAGTTTCTGACTTAGAGATATTTCCTGTACCTGGAGGTAATTACGTTACCACAGCCACTTAAGCCAATTATCTCCAGGATAGAGGAGAAGGTAGACTGGCCGCACAGCCTAAATCTGTGGAACTGTTTTGGGCATGAAAGCCATGCTTGCGGTCGGTCAAATGTGACTTCCATAAAACTTTTCATCCCCTGCTCTAATGTGGGTGATTTTTGGATATGTTGCTCACCCAGATCAATATAAATATGTTGTTTTGGGGTGTTTTCTGGACTTTGGGGAAAATGTGTATTTTTCTGCCTGTGGATAATTAGGTTATTGTATTAGCTGCTTTCATTATATCCCAGGCAGAGGGGAGGGCTTGTGTGCTGTATGTGGGAGTGTCGGACATTGTTGTATTGTTTTGATTGGTTTATGTCTCTTGTGTGCCTGTGTACCATCAGGTCTAGGGGGTGTGCCTCTGGCCTGAGGAATTGTATAAATTGTGAATGCTGACTTACATTAAACAGACCTGCTTGACCCCTTCTCATGTTTGGGGATGGGATAACTACACTCTTGGAGATTGCTATAATCACAATACTCCCCTGAGTATAAGCTCTTGTAAGAGCTTGTTTCTGCTATGCTCTCTGGAATAGGAGAGTGTGTGTAATCATATCAAACACCTGCAACTCTCTGATATTTATCTCTACTCACATCCTCATAGAATGAGATGAAATTTATTTGGCATAACCAGTGGTGATTCCTGCTAATGATTGTTCACAATAGATTCCTTAGTTCCAATATTAAAGGCCCAACATTTCCAAAGGGTTATTCACTAAACATTTTCATTCACATGCCTTCATGCAAGCGAACAATAATCTTTAGTACTATTTGCCAGTAGGTAAATAGTTATATAACCATTGCTTTCCAGTCTCCACATTAAAAAGTAAAAATAAATAATACAAATAAATTCATTAAAAGCCTATATTGGTCACCATATATTTAAGAAGGGCTTTAAAAATCCCTAAGCCCCAACCTAAATATGGCAGGTGGTGGAATATCTACTAAACATTAGAAACTAGTGACATTGCAGCCCAGTCTCTAGAATGGCCACATCACGTGGGGCTGAGGCCTGTAAAATGCCCATCCATTGGCATTGGGTGGAAGACTAAAATACATAATGTGGGGTGGAGAGATATTGTGTGGGAGCTACTGGACAAAATGAACAGCAGGGACATGTTTATGTTTTTCCCACCTGTGATAAGTGGGTATGTGGTATTATAATATTTATGGAGGTTGACATAGTAGGCAAAATGTCCCCTCCTAATACCCACACATTGGGCCCTAATATTCCTATTAACAGGGGAAAATCTGGTGTCCCCCCTACCACCACCAATGGGCAGCAGGTGAGATCTCTAATTAATGAAAAAAGGAAGTGGGGGGCGTGGCCTGGAAGCCGCAGGACATGGTCGCATAAGCGTTGAGCTCTGATACCTGACCGGGAAATATAGGGGGAACACGGCTCACTACAACTCCAATGGCATCTAAAAAGCAGCGCAATGCAATGGGGAATGCCCCCACAGCAGATACACCGGCAGCTAAAACTTCCCTGAGAAGATATTTTGGCGAACAAACGGACACGCAAAGACGGGACAAAATGGCGCCCGCAGCACAAACATGAGGCAGCCAGCCATCAAGTCCGAAGGCATCAGAAGGCTCCACAGAGGACCATGAGATCCAGACCCTGTTGACACAATTGCCCTCAAAATCAGACCTGGCAGCAATGTTTCAGAAACTGGAGGACAGCTTCAGTGAGAAACTACAGGCAGTGAATGCGGACGTGCAACAGCTCGGAGCCAGAGTGCAAGACCTGGAGGAAGAGACAGAGAACATTAACAAACAATGGGCTGAAGCCTACACCACCCAGGAGACACACGCAGAAGCAACAAGGTACCTACAAAGGAGGCTGGAAGATGTAGATAACCGGGGGCGCCAAAACAACCTACGGGTGAGGGGCATTCCGGAAAGTGCTGAGGGTGTCACAGAAAACCCCATACAGGTCCTCACCACCCTCTTTAATCGCATCCTACCCAGACCTAATGACACAGCCATCACATTTGACAGGGCTCACAGGGCCGCTAGGCCCAGAAATCTACCTCCTGATAGGCCACGAGACCTTATCTGCTGCATCCACAACTTCCTCTTAAAGGAGGAAATTTTCCGTAAAGCCCGCCAAAACAAAGATCTAACAGTAGATGGCCAATTGGTGACAGTATTTCAGGACCTGGCACCATCCACATTACAAGCAAGGCGAGCCTTGCGGCCCATCACACAGGTCCTGCTAGAGAGACAAATAAAATTCAGATGGAATTTCCCGTTTGCACTCACAGTCAACCTCCAGAACAAGACCCACACTATCTCCTCACCAGAGGATGTTCCCGAATTCCAGAGGGCACTGAAGCTCCCAAAGCTCACTTCGACACGACACCCACTCATACACAACGTCCTCACAATATGGAGAAGATATAAAGACCAATGGGGACTGTCACCGGGACTGTCAAGGTTCTTCCCTATAGCAGACAATCCTGACTTTCAGGGAGGTGGAGAGGGACCACTCCTTACTCGTCTCATGGGACTACCCACCCCAGACATAACCGAACTGATCGGGGAGATCCACCCACTGTCAAGGCCATATATAGACCACACAGGCATGACACGCTCATTGAGGTGATAGGCAGAGCACAACTTAAGACCTTCTTGAAAAGAACCGTCATTCCCCTCTGGAAACAGAGAGCAGACACACCCTTTGAGCACCTCTGCGGCCCAGAGGGCGACCCTTGACGCCCCTTATCTAAAGTCTACCGCATCCTCCAGGGCACAGTGGAGGAACATAAACCACTGTCATTCAAACGGAATTGGATGAAAGACCTCCAAATACATATCTCTGACAAAGACTGGTCAGGGATCATGGAAATGGGAATCAAAACCCCAACCAGTGTAGCACACAGGGAGACCTTCTATAAAAGAGTCACCAGGTGGTACAGGACCCCAACCCGACTGCACTCAATCTGGCCCTCAATCAGTAACATATGCTGGAGATGTTCCAACGGTCTAGGGAATATAGAACATATTTGGTGGAGCTGCCGAGACATACAGGGTTTCTGGCTCCTCATACTCTCTAAAATAACTAAAATACTGAAACCACCGACTCGACTAACACCTTCCCAGGTCCTACTAAGCTGGCCCCGCACATTTGTGGAATCCCACAAGCAACAGTTGCTACACCTACTACTGGGGGAAGCAAATGCCCTCATCCCGCTAAACTGGCGGAATACCAACACGCCATCCATAGAGCAGTGGGTACAAAGGGTAGAATGAACCAGAGAATTAGAGGACATCCACTGGACTTCAATAGGGAAGCGACAGAAATATCTCCAGAGATGGGAGCCCTGGATAGGGTTCTGGAAAAGATCCCCAGAGGAAAAGACCACTTAAGCTCTCTTAGATTAGACACCTAGAGATCCAGACAATAAAGCAAACGCAAAACCACCGAATACACGACAGAACATAAAGAACCAAGGACTAACCACCATACCAGGCAGGACCCCATTAGACCCTCTCCTCCCGCCCCCCTCCCCACAACTCCCTAGCCTTTCCGACTAGTTAATAACCCCTAGTTTCTCCCTAACCTCCTATAAGGTCTTAGATAGAGACAACAGCACCATCTGACTGGATCTAAACCAGGATCATCCAGCAGATCGAATGTTAACTATAACAGGAATTTACTAGAACTAAAGCAGTGATAGAGGTATATGCAGATGCACATAATGTTATGAAACCCCTACTTGTAACAACTGACTGCTTCCTTTTTCTCTTTTGTACCCCATAACCTTGCCTTTACGAAATAAAGAAAAACTGAAATTAAAAAAAGAAAAAAAAAAGAAAAAAGGAAGTGTAAAACATGCTATTGTCCACCCCCAAATAATGGCTCCCGTGTCCCACAAGACTCCCCAAAACCCTAGCCAACCTTAGCCTAATAAAAGTAATAGGGGGCAATTGAACAAATTACTGTTAACAAATTATGCTTAGGCTTTCTTCTAATTCTTCTGTTCTTCAGCCCCTAAATAAGCCAAATAAAAATCAATAATAACTAATGCAACTTATGAAAAAGAGACAAAAATACAAAAACCCATTTGCAAAAGAATTACAAAATAAATTTTTAAAAAGGTGACCGCTAGTTGCTAACATAATTAACCATTTGCTCTGGAATTAAACTGTCTGGCAGCATTTGGCCCGGCTTAAATCCAGAACAAATTCTGTCCGGGGCCTGCATTGCAAAATGTGGACATTGTTAAATTGCATGATCAGTGTCCTAGCTTTGCAGTCCGATTGGTCCTGCAGGCAACTGAATGGTTTTGCCCCATTCAGCATGGGGTCATTGAGACTTAGTAAATTACCCATCAGTTTCACATTTGTGAGCATTAATGTATTTAAAAAACCTTTTGGAGCTCTCTTTGGCATCATATTTTCATTTTATAGTTTAGCCAGTCTTATTACCTTTTTACAAGCTCTGTTGACATTTATATTTATTTATTTATGATACATCTGACCCATTTTGTAATTCCTCATCCTTCATTGGTTAACATAAGTGTCCAGGGGAAAATTTTAGGTTTGTTTTTATTTTTTACTCCACTGAGGAACCATTGTGGGATTCTTGAGGTTTATATTAGAGCATTTGTCTCTTTTTTCAGTCTCCTCTGGACTATACTGAAAAATGAATACAGTGAGGCATTGTTTGGCACCCTGTATTAGCATCATATATTTCTGTCAAAGTTTTTATATAGTTATGTGTTTATTGTGATTATTTGTTTAAAAATAAGAGGGTTATTTTAATTCCAGCCATCCGCAGTAGCATACATATACTTCTAAAAGTAAACAAAGAATATGAGAACTCTGAGAATAGACAAAAGTTTAGAGAAACTAAGTAGCATGCCCTTCGATAAATCCCCGCTCAGGCCTCAAACTAGTTATTCTCACTTGTGCCGTTACAGAGAGAATATATCTGAAGCATATCAGACTGATCCCACCTATAAGGGCAGTCCAGATCTGAAATGCCAGCAAGTTGTCTTTCCACTAGAGATACAGCAACCACAGACGATCATTTTGGTCTTTTTTGGGTCTCTTCAGTGAGGTGTTGATACCCCTCTAGGCACAGTGAGCACGGGGTCCATGTCTGGATTACCCTTCTAACTTTTACTTCTAAAAGTCAATTTTTTATACTAAAATAAAATGTTTTAAAGCATAAAACTTAGAGAAAATAGGTAGCACATATTGGATCACAGAATACCATCTAAGTATGCATTTCACTAGTCCTAATCCTATGATTAAGTATGGAGGTTCCCGTGCAAAACTCGTTAGGAAGTTGTATTCTGTAACCCACAGCATAATAAGAGAAAAAAAAATCTAATTTTTCTGTTTTTAATGGAATTCTAGTAAAATTATAACAGCTGGGCTGTCAAATTTGCTCAGTGGATGCCTGGATTTCTAAGTAATGTATTTACGGCATCTGTGATAACATCAAATGCAGAGCACAGGGGTACAGCATGGAGAAGGTATTGAGCCCAGCGAGAAGAGCAGAATTTTGCCAGGAGGCATTTGAAAACCAATTGAAGAGTCCTGAGTATTTAGAAGTTGACATAAAGGCAGAACAAGCTAGAGCAGATAAGGGGTCAAGTCATTTTTTACATACTGATCCAATTTTAAATTAATGTTATGTTCCTCTCTTACATATGTTTAAATTAATGTTTTAGTGAGTAGTGGATGTTTTAGGGAAGCTGCTACAATGTATTTGCAGGTAGAATTGCATAATAAAACTCCCAACAACCTTTGTATCTTGAGGTGTTTCACCCAATGGCAACACAAAATCTGTCCCCAGGACTTGATTAGACAATTATTTACAAATGTATAATTTATTCACCATAATAGCAGCCCATGCATGGTCAGTATCTTTAACTTTTTCAATATGAAGTGACTCACAGGAATCCATGCCAATATTTATCATTGAAGTGTAGGTCACCTTCCATCTTTATTCCTGCATCAAATCGTGCCTGCATGCAGTGACTTATTTCTTGAAAATACTATTAGTGTGATATAATGAGCTATTGTATATTCAGTAACCACAAACACAGACATGAGATGTAATTCAGTTTTGTTATATAAGAATACAGAAAATAGGGTTTCACTGTTTGGAATTTTAAACCTGTTTGTCCACTGGTTTTATGTATATTTAGAACTGACTTTAACTTCTGATGCTAGGTTATCAAAACAGTTACATGAAAGAACTTAAATCAGTAATATATTGCCCATTTTAGAAATTAGCTACATTAGTATAGCATACTGCTTGCAGGTTTATTTGATGAACTACACCATTTCCTTTCCACTGTTACATTTTGCTATTTGATGATGTTGGACCTATTTGTCCAACTAAGGTAGCACAGCCCTATTATTTATTGTATTGTGTTACGGCTCCCCCGGTAGGAGAGGGGTTACTGCCATATAGGACGTTCCCTTACCGAATGCAGAGGTAGCCACTGAGCACTCCAAACTGCCGAACAGTAGTCATACGAATCACGGATTCTCCCAAACAGCCGAACAAGCGTACTCCATACGAATAATCCCCCCCAATGACTAGACAAAGCTCCGCATTGAGGGTCAGCAGGAATCTGGTTTAATGAGGGCTACATGCCCGGCTTTTATGCAGGTCTCCCATCTGGTGGACACTCCCCTAGGGGACCAAATGGGAGGCTGTGACAAGGACATTGTAACAGCCAATCACAGGGTACACACTTAGCCATTCACAATTTATTACCCAGGACCATCTGCTCTGCCCGGGGAGTAATTCAATTATCTCCCAGGACAGAGCCTAAACACCATTTTAGATGACAATAACAAATAGACGTAAAAATACATAACTGTTACATATTACAACATACTACAGGCATTCAACAGGTCCCCAGATAGCTAGGATCTGAGCACACCAAAGTACTGAATAGCGCTCAGATCCTATGCACACAGTCCAATCGCCATGGAGCCAAAGTGTTCACAAAGTCAGTTCTCATACGAATAGGCTCCACGGGACGCCTATCTGGGGATATGGTGTATTCGTGTATTCGTGTACAAACTACCGAATATAGGGCCGTTCGTGAACTTTCTACCGAACAAGAAGGGAGGTCGGCGGCTTCAGCGGTATTCGTGTCAAAAAGCATCCGTTTTGAGTTCCATGAGTTGGGCGTCGAACACCGCTGTGCGTT